ACTTGTCTTTTATTCCATTTAATCACGATTATTAAGAACACATGGCTGATCACAGCACTATCTTTCAATCAGGTATTCCCAGTAGGCACCGTAAATCCAGGATTTGTCAAATAACCCCACGATTTCAGAAATGAAATATCCGTTCATCATGCCCGTTTTGAGCGCTGATAATTCACGTTGCTTTACTCTGAATAATCGCTGTTTTTACACTGAATCGCCAGCTACCATAGCATAGCTAATACAGGTCTGTGCATTTCCATGATTTGAATATACGGTGGCGCCACATACCATTACCTTTATATACTCCTGTTCTATAGAATTTTGGCACGTTAGTTTATATAAGCTTATTATGGAAACTTTAACTTAACTTTCAACGCGTGATTTGGTTCAGAATAAGGTTATTTGGGATAAACACGAACAGCATTTCTTATTTTGTTTAGTTTTTCTTTCAACCTCTCAATGTTGCAGTTATCTTTACTCTCAAAACTTCATTGTACAATCGTTATTATTCGATGTAATAGTATTTGGATGTCCGATATGAAATAATGTCAGTTATTATTCGTTACTGTCCAGTATTTATTTCATCTTACTTTCAGTTGCATTTAAATGCAACTTTCAGACCGTCATTCTACGGTCGTTTGATGCAAAGATTTGACAACAAATACGTTTAAAATTTTTAAAAAAAGGCTTTTATTTAGGATTTAGGGAAGTTTTTGGTGCCTAAATAATGGACATGTTTCTGATCCATAAGGCCTGTGGTTTCTAAACATTTTGATGTTCCATAGGAAATGTTTGCTCAATGTTCTCACTCCCTATAAAAGAATCACCACATTTGAAGAGAAAGAAGTCTTTAATTTTTTAACTCCAGACATAACTGATCCTGAACAAACTTTAACAAATAAGATTTAAATTAATCAGTAATGGGACTAAATCGAGCAATTAGATTTTAATAAATTTTAATGAATTTCAATAAATTTAATAAATTTTAATAGATTTTAATAAATGTAATACAATTTTAACAGATTTTAATAACTTTTAACGCAATTTTAATAGATTTTAGTAAATTTTAATAAAATTCTAATAAATTCTAATAGATTTTAATGTAAACATTAAAACGAGTTAAAAATGTAAACACAAAAGTTCAGTGACTTCTTTGCTCCTGCTTCTCGTTCATGATTTTGTTAAAATGTGTTGCTTTCTTGCGAAATCCGAGCCATGATTTCGCCTGTGGATTTAGGTGATTTCATTATCCATTGTTTTGATTGATAAGAGAATTGGACCGAAATCCACAGAGATATTTTGTTGTGAATTGAATGATAGCACAGTGTCCTAAATATGTGCCAGAAATCTCGTTCATCGCCCTCCTTTTAAAGTGCGTTTTAAATGAGCATTGAGTTCAAAAATCAATAAGAACTTCTTTTAATTCTTCATCATCTGACATATTCTCTAAATTGTAGGAATTTACTCCTGTCTCAATAGCAAATCCGCCAGATTCAACTAAGATAACCTGGTCGCTGGTCTTGAAAAAAAAAACCCTCTAATCAATGGTTAATTGGGGCAAAAATTGGCCCGTAAATTTTAATTCCTCCTCTTATTTAATCACCATAGAGAAAATTTACTGCTGGCCATCATCACGGCTGATGCTAGACTCATGGAGAGCAACACAAGGCGCCTTCTTGGAACAACTTCATTGAATTAATAGCTACATCAACTGCAAGGAAATTTGGGTCACTGTGCCGTGCCAGAAGTTTTTTCGTATCAGAGTATATCTTGCACATTTAAAAATCTACCATTCGTTCGTGCATTGAATACTGTGGCCATATCCGGTCTGGAACTCCTGCTATTCACCTCGAGGTTCTTGAGAAAATCCAAAGACAAATATGCAATATAATCGATGCTGACTTGGCATCTCGACTTCAGCCTCTTTCTCACGAACGGGACGTTGGCTTCTCTCTGTCTTTTCTACAAATATTTTCATGGCAACTACTCTGACAAGCTTTCCCCTGGTGTTCGGACTACGTGAATTTAGGCGTGCTAATAGATTGGCACCTTTTTTAATTTTGAAATAACTAAATGCAACCACTCCTTTTTTTTTTCGCGCCTCCCACCTGTGGATCTCCCTTCCGTCTCCTTGCTTCCCTGATAACTACAATCTTCAAAAGTTCAAAGTCAGTCGTCAAATTCTATCTTCTTGAATCTCATTCACCTTTTAAATTTTCCCCTATCCTCCTATCCCGATCTTTTCTCTCAATTTCACTCCCTGTAACCACTTGCGGGCTAGTGGCATTTCCGCCTTGCTTGATTAAAAAAATGATTTAAAAAAATATATCGAAAAATATAATCACTTTTTCAAGAAATGTCAAAGACGCTTTGAGGTTGAAACAAAATTATTATCAGAGGTTCCAAGACTTTATTTTATGTCTCACGTCTATAGGTTTGGTTTGTCTTACGGCATATCAACTTCAATGGGTTATTTAATGCCGACAAGATATTTATTGTAGGTAATTTTTTTTCCGATAATGTATTGCTGGTAATATTTTTTTTTCTCCAAAAATGTATGGCTGGTAAGAATATATTGCTAGTAATATTCTTTCCCAAAAATGTATTGCTGGTAAGAATTTTTCCAAAAAAGTATAACTTAAAACCTTATTATTAAAACTTATTTTTAGTCGGTCATAGTGTTTTGAACTCTTTTGAGGAGGGTAACTGGGACCCTGACAGGTGCTACCACCCCGGGTCAGGGTGGATCTGGGAACACCAGCAATAATGAGATGGTTCCACGCTCCTCAAAACCTCCTGATCAGAGGCCTTGCTGTCGGATCTAGTTTATCGTCTTACCCAGGACACCTATAGGAAATGTTTCATTAATGATTGCACACCTCCAAAAAAGTAACATCACATTTGAAAATCAAGAAGTCGAATTTATAATTTCTGAAACGAAAACTTTACTATTCGTGAACAAATTGAGTTTAACAAATTAGCTCTAAACTCAGCACAGTGAAACTGCAAAATACCGAATTTGACGGAATATAAGACGCACGGGTGTATATCTTTTTTTTTACGAATTGGTCAAAACCAAACTCAAACACAAACATTGTTTTCAATCGTTATGAGTCTACCGATTGAATAGAATTTTATTATAAACAATTGTCTTGTAAATGGAATTTTTAAAGCATTCTGAATGTAAAAAATAAAAGAAAAAAAAGTGTGCAAGACAATAAGAAACACTATCTGCCAAAAAATAGTGAAGTTTTGTTGAAATCGGTTGAAAAATGTAGGAAATCCGATCCCATATATAAACGAGCACACACACACACACACACAAACAAACAACCTGGGTTTTATATTAAGTATAACTCGATATGAGTTATCTTCTTTTAATTCTCGCGACAGCGATGCCTCTTAATCGTGTTTTCAAATTGATTTTGTGCAAAAAAAATTGTGTTTTTCCAATTTTTGGCACTGTCAGAACCACCGCAAGGTAATTTTACGTAGTCTTGTGAATTTTTGTTGAAATCGGTTGAAAAATGTAGGAAATCCGATCCAATATATAAACGAACAGACACACACACACAACCTGGGTTTTATATGATTATTTTGGTTAGACAAGCCATGATTACGATTAAACGAAAAATAATAGGAAAATAAAGAACACGAGCCTATAAAAAAATTATAATATCCAAAAGTAAGAAAATAAAATAAAAATCTAGCAATTACAATTGATCAAAACAGTAGAGTTGCCATTAAAATTTTATTCATCTTCAAATCCATAAAATTCGTCGTCATCGTTATCAAAACTCTGATACTCATTTTCAATACTACTATCATCGACATTAAATAATGCGTCATTTAATTTCGGCCGACTATCGTGAATTTTAAACCTATATATGACATATAAGACGCAGGGGAATTTTAAAAGTTATTTTTAGTAAAAAAAATGTGCGTCTTGTCAAATATGGCAACCAAGTAGATTTTAATTGAAAAACATTAGAAGAAACACAAATATGAACATAAACTTTAATGCCTTCTTTTCTGCTGATTTTCTTTGCTGATTTCATTGCTGAATAGGAGTTGAAAGGTTTGTCTATCGCCCGGTTCATACACTTCCAGAAAAATTTTGATCAGGGGAAGAGGTTCATCCCTTGTTTCCTGTTTCGGATTGGGTTTTCGGTTACATCTAAAGTCTTTTTCTTCGCTTTCATTTCCAGTAGCTTCTTTTGTCATGGTGACATTGTCACCTTACTTGAGGAGGGTGCCTCTTACTCTGTAACCCTCTACCTCGAGTGGCTCTTAGCCCATGTACAGGGTGATCATCATTATAAAAACAAAATGTCACCCGCAGAAAAATTCGGATGATTCCTAGATTTTTTTTTATTGATTGACAAAAGAGAACTGAATCCATAAGTTAATTGCTTTTAATAATGAATTAGCATTTTTATTAATAAATTCAATGGATATTATAGGCCATATAGAGCTAGTGACGTCGAATCGGCAGCGATGAACTGTTCCTAACAGCCTCAAAGCACACCAGCATCTGGTTGAGTGATGACTCGTCACTCAAGGACACAAACCATATTGTCGTCGCACCCGATGAAATTCTATCTTGCTTCCTAGGTTGGGAACACATGCTGTAAGCAATTCCTGAACCTGAAGATCCCGGATATAGTGACGTAGATCATATCAGACGAGTGTCATTGGACTCTGACAAGGTTAACTGTGACTATAACGGCATCTGCCTCAGTGAGGGAAGTAGGACACTCATGGGAAAATGGTATACCCAAATCATTTCATTATCCAGTTTCCTTTTTGTTATCCATTGTGACATGCTAGTGACAAGATCTTTTTTGTCAATATAGCTCGCAATGAAACCGCGCCTGGGAAGAATTTCATTTATTATTAACTACTGAATATTAAAACTTTTCAAAAATACATTTTTCATATTTTTTAATCTATCTATCTATCTTGTTCTGTTCCAATCTATCTATCCAGACGAGAAAAATCTAAAATATGAAACTTAAGGAACAAACTGAGATAGATAGATAGATAGATAGATAGATAGATAGATAGATAGATAGATAAACTGAGAGGAAGATATATATGAACAAAATGGCATTATATGAACAGACAGACAGAGATATAAAAAGACTGTGATAGATAGATAGATAGATAGATAGATAGATAGATAGATAGATAGATATGGATGGAATGGAAAGAGATAGATAGATAGATAGATAGATAGATAGATAGATAGATAGATAGATAGATAGATAGATATGAACAACTATTTGTTGCTGTAAGTAAAACCAGTAGGTAAAACACCAGACTCATAAATTCAGAAATGTTCTTTCCTCAACACATGAAGGAAAAAAATTGCCTAAACTATCGCCCACTCAGGAAATGCATGAAACTTCCTCTCGTCATCAAATTGCACTTATTATTATTGTTGTTGTTGTTGTTGTTGTTGTTGGTGGTGGTGGTGGTGGTGTTTTTGTTATTGCTGTTATTATTATTATTATTATTATTATTATTACTCAATTTCAAAAGAAGGGAAATGATGGAAACCACATTGTAATAATAATGCTGATGATATTCGTCCAACAGATTACCATGATGGGGACCATCATCATCATCATCGTCGTCATCATCACCATCAACATCAGCACGATAGGTAGTAGTATTAGTATTAGTAATATTTTAAATGAGGAGAAAACTGAGTCATGAGTGTATAAAGAGCTGACAAAAGTAAAGAGATACCTCTGTTGCCGAAGAGACATTTATCCAGTAATTTAAAAATATGAAGGAATATTATGTAAATTTGTATAGGGACGTGCCTATATATATAAGGTCAACGTAGACGCTCTGGACAATAGTTCGGGAATATCATATGTTCTCGAATATTATATGCAAATGGATGGATAAGAGTAAACGGAGATAGGTGTGAACATGATAGATAGATAGATAGATAGATAGATAGATAGATAGATAATAGATAGATAATAGATAGATAGATAGATAGATAGATAGATGAAAAACTAAATAGATGAATATACTGACATATATAGATAAGCAGATATAAATGAGCAGATATATATAAATTAAAATATATATATATATATATATATATATATATATATATATATATATAGATAGATAGATAGATAGATAGATAGATAGATAGATAGATAGATAGATAGATAGATAGATAGATAGATAGATAGGGAAAGAGAGAGAGAGATGAAAACTAAATAGACAGATAAACAGACTGGGATATATAAATAGAAATGAACAGATATATAGGAATTAAAAGATAGATAGATAGATAGATAGATAGATAGAAACAGACAAAATATGGCACATGTCACATATCGAGATATACCAAAGGTAGACATTTGTATTCCCAAGGAGTGTTTATTCAATGACAAAAAACAGTTCAAGATTTTCTTCAGTAAGTTAACATTTCGTTTTCTGTCATTTATCAGATTTGATAGTATTTACTTTTTCTGGTATCGAATTTCAGATAAAGTGGAACAATTTTTAGGTTTTCAGACCGTTCTTTTATATAACCTCCTGAAATGAACCAATGTCTTCAATAGGATTGATGTCACACGTCCGACTTTGCTATGACAATCGTTTATTAAACTTTTCAAACGAGCCTGTTTTGCTCTCTGGTATATAGAGATCCAGCTTAAATACAAAGGGTGCAAGGCTAGTGAGCCACTCAATGTAGAGGGTTACTCGTAACATGGTTATAATAAATGAAGTATGGGATATGGATAAAAGAGATGCTAAGAAGTGCAGATTATGGGGATAGATGACTGACCTAGAAGATGATGAATCTATTGATAAGAATTAACTCTCTGACCACTTAACGAAGGAAAATAGTCTAGTCACTTCCACAATAACGAATTCTGTAACGGACCGTGCCTAAAAACACACGTAAACCGAGAGAAAGCTTATTCCTAAAATTTCTCTTCGAGATGAAACGGGACTAAACACCACAATTCAACTAAATTTTAATAATTATTTGGATGATTTCGGCTCTCGTTTTTGAAACATGAGAACTCTTATGTGGCGAAGGAATCATATTTTTAATCAAAAAATTATTATTATTATTATTATTATATATATATAAATGCATGTTTCATTAAATAATATAGACAAGTTTTGTCTATGTATTTTTAGTAAATTCTTTTCATATTGTCGAATAAGCTTTTTAGCATTATCACTGAAACACGAAAGAAAATCACTATGTTGATACACGTTTTTATTGTTAATCCTGTGTAAGTTTTCGGCTTACATAAGCTATCACCAGAGATTACAAGTACATTAAAATAAATTAAATAATAAATTATATCACAAAGATGGTAATTACCATCCATCTTTGTTATAGAAACATGTATCAACATAGTGATTTTCTTTCATGTTTCAGTGATAATGCTAAAAAGCTTATTCGATAATATGAAGGAATTTACTTAAAATAAATCGACAAAATTTGTCTATTTAATGAAACATGCATTAAAAAAATGCTGCCTAAACATACACATATATATATATATATATATATATATATATATATATATATATATATATATATATATATTTGTATATTTAGGCAGCAATCCTTTTTTTATGCATGTTTCATTAAAAACGACAGACAAGGTACTACGGTTGAGCTTTTTATTTAATTTTTCTTGTGTTCTAACAAGAGCTTTCTTTTCTGGACAAAGAGTGTGTAAGAACTGTCCGAATGTTCTGTATTTCCGAGCGCTTTCGGCTATACCTTTAGCCATTATCAAGGATGATTCGATTATCAGCATAGTAGAGTGTGTGTTCTGTGTATGTTCGGTGTGTGGTAGTGATGTTTTTAGTTTCCGAATACGGTTAGCACATTGTGGCTTTGTTCATAGTTAATATTGTTAAGAGTTGGCTTTTTCTTTTTTATTATTAGAGCTTCCATTATTTTACTCTTTTTTTCTGATCACAGTTCCATCAGAACACATTTAAACACACACTCAGATTTACCCGACACTATTAGGGACATACTAGTAGAAACACAAATATATTAACTGCATCCACTTGCAAAAAAACACTAAAAATAATGGAAGTTTATCAGATAATGGTTTCAACAGACGAGACGCTAAAACGGAATGGTGTGAAAACTTTGACAATATCTGGACCTTGCAAGAGAAATTAAGAAAAGTTGTAGCATCCCTAAGTACGCGTGAATCATTATCCGACGTGATGCATAATCTTTGCCGTGAAAATGGAGGAATTGTAATATAGAAGACAGAATCGACATCGTGAAACAATAATATAATATGCTGGTATATAGAGCAGAGTGACGGAATCTTGTGTAGACTTGCTGTCACTTGACACCCACTGAAACCCACCAGTTCCACGTGATGAAAAGCTCAACAAGGAAAACTTGATGAATTAATACTGAAAATTAACCTCATATTACTCTTTTTGAAAAAATTGTAGATGTATTTCATTAATGTTATCAATGTTTTCTTAAAGTGAATACATGATACGTTTCAGATAAAAAAAAATCTTTGACATGTGACAAAAGACCGCTACACCCTTGTGCAAATTAATTTTCACAAAACGAATAATTCCGTTATTATTTACTTGTTTTCATATTTTTCCAATGAAACATGACCCAGTGCACATGTTAATACTTCGTATGTCCATTCCACGAAGTCGTTCCTTGCAGATTGACCACCGATTCTCGATTGGATTTAAATCAGGGGAGTTTCTGGGCCAGTCTATAGTACTTTGATTTGTTCACTGGTAAGGCTTGCCAGTGTGTTCATGCAAAGTTACAATTTCCGTACGCTTCCTTGGAGTAACGTTCATAGCAGACAATAGCCGTAAGACAACTAATCGACAGTCGAGACAATAGTGTCTGGACGTAATGAAAACCTAATGCAATCAATATTTTTCAAAGCCAAACAAATTTCATCATACACTGTTAAAACAGATTCATATTACTACACACTACTGCAAATGACCTAATATGAGGAAAAAATAAAAATCGATTACACCCTGTCACTCCAGTGGGTCTAAAACTGCTCGTAGGGTGAAAGAAAGGAAACTAAAGCGGTTGTTTCAATTAATTTGCACAAGAATGTAGAGCAGAGTGACGGAATTTTGTGTAGACTTATTGTCACTTGACACCCACTGAAACCCACCAGTTACGAGTGATATAAAGCTCAAGAAGGAAGTGCAGTTCTTTTAATAACACAAATATATACTACGCGAGTATAGCTGACAACTCTTTTCTTCCACTCTTAATAGCAGTAGCTGGACTTGAATAAAGAAGTTCAGTTTCAACTGCAAACTGGATAATCGTACAATTCTCGAACGAAGAGAAGGAAGTGACAATATTTTGATCCAGTCGATTTGGGCCACCGATGAAGTGTCTCCATGAGATGTCAGTTCAAACTGGGAAAAAAAACCTGTTGTAAGATGGCAGACATGGCAACGCGTGTCGATATCAACTGCAATCATTGTATCAGTCAGAAAAGAATAAAAAAGAATTCCTCTCTCAACACCAGTAGAGGGTAACAGTTGATATGTTGCACAGTGGTTTGAAATTCTCACATGCATCCAACTTTTCAGCCCACTGTTCAGTTTTCAAACTGCGGATATGATGAATATCTTATATTCCCTTGCCAAGAATTTGGATTAGTCCACCTACGACTGACTTTTTTTTTATTGTTCTGCTGTAAGCTTCCGATTTTATTTTTTTTTTAATACAATAACTCTTCAGAATGTACGCAATCATGATCCTCCACAAAGTATTTTTTCTTTATTATATGTGAATTGTCATGACTTCTTTGGAAATATAGTGGTGTAGTTTCCCGTTGCCTTCTTCACAGTTTTGAATTCGGATATATATATATATATATATATATATATATATATATATATATATATATATATATATATATTGACCGGCCGTGCAAAATATGCATGCAGGATCAGATGGTGGTTCCTCCTGCAACAGAAAACGCAGATTTGAATCCACTCAGAGGTCACGTTCTCATATATACATATATATATATATATATATATATATATATATATATATATATATGTGTGTGTGTGTGTGTGTGTGTGTGTGTGTGTGTGTGTGTGTTTGCATGTGGGGTTGTTTATGCGTTTGACAAGTTTGAGATAGAAAGAAAGAAATATAGGTATAAGCTGATATATCTACTCTCTCTCTCTCTCTCTCTCTCTCTCTCTCTCTCTCTCTAGATAGATAGATAGATAGATAGATAGATAGATAGATAGATAGATAGATAGATCGAGAGGGGGAGAGAGATAGAAAGAGGAAGAGGCTGAGGGGGCAGATATATCAGCCGATCCTAGTCTTTCTATCTGTATCTCTCTCTTTCTCTATCTCTCTCTTTCTCTCTCTCTCTCTCTCTCTATATATATATATATATATAAGGAGAGAGAGAGAGCCAGAGAAAGAGGGAGCAGATATATCAGCCTGTCCCAGTCCTTCTTTCTTTCTCAACTTTTCATATCTATCTATCCATCTATCTTAGTCTGCTCATATTTACCTATCTCTCTGTTCGCATCTGTCACAGTACGTTCAGTAACTGTCTATCTACTATTATTATTATTATTATTATTTGTACTATGTTTCTGTAACTAGTCTCAATTACATCACATGGGAATAACTGAAACAACAAACAAGAAACACACAGAAAAATCTAATAAACAAGAAATACACACGCACATACACACACACACGCCAAACCGCGACTGAACATTGTTTATACTCGACAAACACTGTTGAGCTTGTGGGACGCAATTTTCCGCCCTTGAACCTCAAAAACCGAAAGAAATTCAAATAACAGCTAAGAAAACATTTTCTTTTCCTTTCGAACGACGGTTATTGACTAAGGAATTACAAGACAACTAAACGCGTTGATTTGAGGTGAAATGCGCGCTTATCTTGCGTCTGTCATCATTTAATCATTCGTTCACAATTTACCAATCAATAAAGAACATTAACCAAACGCAATTTTCTCTTCTTATTAATGTCTTGTATATATTCACTTGAGACGTCCGTGTAAAACATTTTAATTAAACTACTTTCTTCAGCATCACAGTCAGTTATTAAACAGCGTGATTTCGTTGAAATCAGACAGGGAAGAAAGAGGACTTGGAGAATTTGACACTCACAGGACATATTCAAGGCGAGAGGGACAAAAATAAACGCCGTTTGACCTATGTACTTGTTAAATAATAGTTTCAGACTATTATTTTTTAGTGGCAGTGTATTCGGTTGAGACCTTCTGAAGCAGACCTCTAGGTCAGATGGTGGACAAAATAGGGATGTCGATTTAGATTAGCTGGGGTGAACCTGGGAATG